TAAACAGAAAGGCTCTGGCTATCAATGGGACCCTAGCATCATGCCCTTGTTGAGGAAAGTGAAGCCCCATCCGTTCAATTAGGAACCAGAGACTGCTAGCCAGGTTGGAGGTGGGGCTGGAGCCCCAGCCTACAGATTTGAGCTAGATGGTTCTTTCCCAGGATTTGTTTCCAGGCCTCTCATTTTCTGACCCCCACCTTCTAACAGCTTCCTATTTCTGTTATGACCTGTAAACTCTTCAGAGTAAATATTGAAATAATCCTAAGAGATAGAGCATACTCTTTTCATCTGATTATTTGTTTTTATGAGATGAACTTTTAAATAACTAACCTGTAAATGATTTTAGGGGAAGGAGAATAAATATGTATACATTGTGTTTTTCTATAGATTCAGACATTTCTATTTACTGTAAAATAATCTTTGAATTATGACGCATACACATGCAAGTAACACAAGTGGAAATGGTGCCTATTATTTTTTCAAATTTAAGTTCTTTTGTGCTATTCTGAATAGCTATGTAAAGCTTATTTATTACTAGATGAATATTTACAAAGTTAACATTTTAACTAAAATAATTTGCATAAATATTTGTTGAACATAGCTTAGAAAGTATGTAAGAAAAAGAATACTCAATTTTTATTTCCTTTTATTGCAAGAGAAATGCTATAATGGAATTTTGCTAGATTTTCAAAATAACATTTTGCAAATAGTGGCTTTAAAATAATGCCTTTTAATGTACCTGACCAAAACCCAGTTACAAATAGCTTGTTTTTAAAATGTAAAAGTGATTTAAATGAAAAACTTCAGAGTTATAATAAGTGCCTGTTTCCATGCTAGTCTTCAAACAATATAATTCAGAAGGCATCTAAAAAAATGTTTTAAAGAGATCTTTTGACAACTGAATAACTCTAAGAAGAAAAATTGCTTAAAGTCAGGGTATTTTTTGTTGTTGTTGTTTCCCGGTTTTTTTTTTAAAAAAAAGAACGGAGATCGGAATTTTGGTTTTGGAAACAAAAACAGAACTCCTTCATTTTCTGGGTACCTTTGCTAACCCGCTCAGCCGGGGTCTCATTTCTGTGACTCCCTGTTTTAATCCACCAGGGAGTACCTCGCTGAAACACAGGGAATGGCTGGAATCAGTTTCCCCCGACACAGGTCGATAACCTATGCCTATAATCTGCGGGGACAGGGTCCCCGAATCCACAGTCTCCTCCCACCCTCCGCTTTTTAGATCCTTCAGAGAAAGGCGCTGCTGATGTGTTAGCTACTATCAAGCTCCCAACTGCAGGCTCTGCAGCTTGCTAAGTTTAAGCAAATTTAGCAGGCTGGTGGGGGCGGGGGCAGACACTTTCTGAGTTTCTCCCGAGTCTCCTTGCTTAGATTTAGAACATTCTGGAATCTCAGAGGTAAAGAGATCAAATTATAAATGAGACATGCATAAACTGAGTAAAAAAGGTAGACCGGGGCTAATGTTCTGTCCTAGTGGTGAAGATAACGGCTTCTTTTGTTTGTTTTGAAGAGAAAGATGACAAACGTTTAAAAGTCCCTTAGTAAGACTTCTGTGGAATGACCGAGTTTCTACAGGGAAGATGGTGGAATAAGGGTTAAAGGGTAAGGGGGTAGGAGACAGAAAGGTGAGGAAATTGCTGGACCAGAAAGAAAGGAAAGGTCCGGTATGCAAACCCCAGAATCCGACTCTGGGGACACTGGGGCCCTGGAGCCTTGGGGACTCTAGGGGCAGAAGCTGCACAGGAAAGTGCTAGTTGCTGAGACAGCTAGAGCTGCTGACCTCTGCTTACTTGCTGCCTGAACAAGACAGGTCCGGTCTTAGCTGTGCTACAGCTCCTCCTGGTTTTCACAAGAACCGAAAAACTGTTTCTGCTTATACACAGCTTCTAACGGTGAGCAAGGCCGGAGGTTCTCACAGAATGCTGTTGCAGAGCGATTCAGTTGCGAAAAATGTGACCACCTTTAAAAAAACTGGGAAGCCCAAGCCTCATATCCAAAGGGCTTGGGATAGATTGCTTGTCATCCACTCCCTCCGGTATTAAGTTGAGTCAGGGTAGGACTTGGGCTAATTTTAAAGACATTTTGTAAGAGCTATGATAAATCAAGCTATGAAACATTTGGCTTTTGAAGGTTTAAAACATGCATTTTAGTCAAACGCGGGTCTTTCTGGCACTAAAACCAAGTAGGAAATGAGAAAAAAATTAAAACCAGAAGACTTCAGAAGGTGACAAATTGGAAAGCATTGTAGGAGACTCCTAAGACCCATTTTATGTGATAGAAGCCCTCTGAGCCTTAAGAGCTTATGGTCAGCAATAGGCTCAAAAGATTGGAGGAGGGGCAGAATCTATTTAAAAGACAGTGCCATATCCTTGAGTTGATGAGATTGTGTCTCCAACTCTCCCTCTTTCCAACTTACTTCCTTCTCTCCTTCCTTCCTGTTTCTTTCTAGCCTTCCTTCACCTCTATTTCCCTTTCTTCTCCCCCACCCCCAAGGTATGTAAATGCTTGTGCCTTACGTTCTTTGTCAATGAATTTTACAGATTTTCTCAGGGTTCCCAATTGGAAAAAGCTTTCTATATAACTTGAAAGGCTGATGTCCCTCTCAGGAAATGAATGAATTGATAACCTCTGACACCAGTGACCAGCCTGGTGAACCCTACCTTAATACTTTGAATACCGGAGGCCCCTAATCAGGTACAACTGTGCCTCTCATCCAGTTCGCCTCAGCAGCAGTAGTGCTCCTGCTCTACCACACTGAAGCATATCTGAAACTTGTTGGATTTAAGGAGACAGACATTTAAGGAGAAATCCATTTACTGTGTGTTTGATTCTTACGAGTAAACTTTTGTAAAGAAAGACTAACTTGTAGATAAAATGTAATTCGCCATAAACCAAAATTTACAGGCCTGTTAATTTTTTGAGACTTTTGCATAAATAACCCATAAACTATCCCAATTTACATGAATACTTTTCCAGGTTATTTGATATTAGATTTTTTAAAAAAGTAATTTTTTTTACATTACAAAAAATATCATAATATTTTATTGTTTATAATGTATAATATAACAAGTGTGATAGTAATCCATTTCTACCATTAAGATAATGTTTAGTAAATGCTTGGTTAGCAAACAACTTCTTTAGGATGTGGTACTTGTTACACTTGGAAAGTCTCTTGGATTTTAAGATTTTTTTTTTCTCTCCACCAGCTGGTACATTGTTGTCCTTCTCAAAATAAATAAAAGCTCACCTCCTTCCTGAGAACAACAAAAGAAACAGATGAAAAATCTTTCCAAATTGATCAGTTTTGATTGACACCATTTATCACAAACAGCTGAAAATAATTTCTTTCTTTATGCATCCATTATTTTTAGATCTGAGCCAATTATTTTTAGGCTTTCAGCATGAGAAGGAGTGTTAATAGGTGTGCTGTGTGGACTTCTCATAATCCCAGCATTTTAGTTTGTGTGAAACACTGTGTGGGCTGGCTAGAGAGATGGGTGAGGGGTGTACGAGCGTGGTGGGGGAGGGTCAGCTGGTAGCTTTGAAGAAGGGAAGTGGTATCTACAGTTTTTCTGTAAACTGCTTGTTTAAGAAAATGGGGGGATGGGGTAGTGAAAGACTGGTGGAAGCCTTATAATGTTTCAAAACAGGTAATTTGTTTTAAAGAAACAAAGCACTTCTAGTTAATATATAATGCTTTTTAAAATATTCCATAAGATGGTTAGTACTGTTACAAACACAACAAAAACAATTTGAAAGGCAAAAAGTGTTTTGATGCAGAGGGCCAACAGGAAGGGACGGGAGGAACCGATTGCGATATTATGGTCTCGTGTATTTCACCGACTTGCTTGCTGGCAGTAGACTTCTAAGATGTCAGGGTCCAGTTAATACTACGCGGATTTACCTTTCCCCTACGTGCCCTCTCTCCCGACCCCAGCAGCGGAGGCCTTTTTCTTCTACAGTGGCCTCTCCTGCGTCCCTCCCTCCCTCTTCACCTCCTTGTGCCGCTCCCCTCCCCCCACTGCGCTGAGTCTCCTGCTCTTGGGGAACAATCGCCACTGATTGAGGTTCACTCTATGTTAGGCTGGAAAACTGGGCTGTAATTTAGGAAGTCATTAATCACATCTCCTCCCCCGGAAAGAGATGGTGGAGAAACCTGTGAAGTACAATTTCTTACTATACATCTCAAAAATGTTCTGATATGAGCAACACTATTTGATAGGAAATTAGTAGCGAGTTTTTTTTTCAGTAGGATTTTATTTCAACTTAAAAACAATTAGGCTGAAATTAGGTGTGCTTTTGCCTTTTGGTAGGTTTATGTTACCAATATCTGAAGTTAATTATTATATAATTAAATTTATATTTGGACTTAGGAATTGAGTATTTTCCTTTTCAAATTAAATATTAATGTCCCTAAGGTGGTTTGGTGATGTATAGCAAAATCCCTCTGGGGTGTATGTGGGGAATCATAACATCAGTTGCTTTATTTAAATGGCTCCCCCTATGAGATTAGAGAAGCTTGTGTGTAGAGCAGGCGTGTGCACATATACTGTCTGTCGCCTTTCTAAACCAGCAAGTCACAAGGGCCCTTCGTTTAAAGAGTACAAAATCAGCATTCTGATTAATCATAAAGAAGCGTCCCAGATTGTCTTTAAGATAACGTGCTTGAGTTTTCCGTGCTCATTCATAAATTATTTTGATGTCAGCGCAGATGAAATGGCGATTGGTTATCTCTCCCTCTTGCCAGCCCCTTAAGGATCCGAGGTGAATTAGTAGCAAGAAAGCATGTAATTGACAGAGTCACGTGTGCTCAGGGGCCAGAAACCGGAGAGAGAAGAGAAAAAAATCAAAAGAAGGAAAGCACATTAGACCATGCGAGCTAAATTTGTGATCGCACAAAATCAAGATGTTAGACTGATGCTGAAGATCACTCCGGTCCAAAGGGAAAGTTTTCATCTCTGGAGTTTGAAGCTGAGGGCCGGTGGGGCAACATGGCCGAAGGTTAATTTTCTTTTCTATTGTTTTACTGTGATTCCTCTTTTCTTTTTTTCCCTGCTTCTCCCCACCACGCAGTTTCTCACCCCTTCTCTCCTGTCCCCCTTCACCCTAATACTGGGCATTATCTCCCCACCTCTTAGAGTGCGGTGGGGCTTCGGCACTCTAACCTATTGTTACAGATCTCCAAAATGTTTTGTACCGCCCACACCGATTCACAACTTGGAAAGCTTTCAGAAGGCTATTGTTTGAATTGTGTGTGAGAGATTACGTGTAGTTTCAGTTAGTGAGTCCAAGAAAACTTTTATACACCTGCCCCCTCCCCCATTCTATCCTAACTTTAATTGAAAGTTAGGGGGAGGGGAATGCACATTGCAAATAACCCGGGATCCCCGTCTGCAGCATGTGCATTAACCAGTAGCCAGCCATCCTTAGGATTTCTTTTTTCTTTCTGCTTGATAGAAAAACCAATTTCGCTGAAAAATTACTCTTTGTACATTGGAGTAGTATTAGGTCAGCAATCTGTGCTGAAGTGTCAGAAGCTGTAACTGTAGAATGTTTCTGAGGAAAGGAGCCAGATGAAAAAGTATGCGGATGTGCCGAAACGTGGAAGCCGGTGTGAGCGATGCAGCAATGTGGCTTCCCCTCCCTGGCTTTGCTCTTAACCCTTTTTCTTTTTTTCTTTTTCTTTCTTTCTTTCTTTTTTTCTTAAAGAAGAAAAATGTTTGTCAACCCTTTGTTTTCCATCTTCATTTCTTCTTTTCACAAGCAAAATTTTTTGTTTAGATGAGCACTGTATACAGGCTAACTGACTTTGTCCTCTTCCATGTCAGGAGGGGCGAGCAAAGGTGAAGAGCCAGAAAACCTGCCTGAGCTGGTAGAGGATGAATCCCAGGTTCTGCATGGAACCGGCCACTGTAAATGGTTCAACGTGCGCATGGGATTCGGATTCATCTCCATGATAAGTCGAGAGGGAAACCCCTTGGAAATTCCAGTGGATGTTTTTGTACACCAAGTAAGCCAGACTTTTAATCCCCTCTTTATCCATTTCCTTGTGTGGGAGTTGGTGTGTAGTTATGTTAATAGACATAGAAAAATGTGCTCATAAATGTATTGAAATACAGAAATATTAAGTAGAATCAGGTGATTGTCCAGTTTCTAGATGTGCCCCCCTAGGGTATATTTTTCTAAATAGAAAGTGAAGTCTGATACTTACTTCACTGACTGGGCTTGGGTTGATGTTATTTAATAAACCTTCCCTTTAATTCGACAAGGAAATTGCATTCTAGAAGCGCCCCTTACTGTTGGCTTACATTGCCTGTACTTAGTGAGTGAATGGGAGTGCAGGAAGAAAGGCTGTGGATCCTTGAAAGTTTTTCAACAGCCAAACTGTTTGCTTGTTGTAAGAAAGTCTAGGCAGCCTATATTTTGGATACTTCTAATGACAGTACCACCTGTACTAGTTTATCATTGTCTGTTCTACAGTCATTTGCAGGCTTATGTAAAAATAATTTGGTTTTATAGTAAAAATGAAATAGAATGTCATTAATGAAGAGTGGATTTAAAGCAATGCCAGAGAAGATTCTTAGTAACCAAACTTTTAAGAACTATTTCCTCTTAGGTCATTGATTCAGGGATACTGTCTCTTTTAAGAGAGCATTTTTTTTTTTTTTTAAATGCAGCCAGTTGGTTACATGGTAAACTTGTACAATTGCTTATATTGTGTTATAGTTTTTAAAAATACTTAAATACCAAATAGACAGTATTGTTTTCCATTAAAAAAAATGTCCCCAGGAAACAATAAATACCTTTCCTCATAAATTCTTTTCTATTAACTAATTGCTTCAGGGTTAAGAAGAGTTTACAGTCTGCAAGTAAAGGAAATAAAAGTTTTCTAGTGGGTTCATAGACATGAAGAGGCTCATGAGGAAAGAGGGTTATTTTGGTTTACTAAGTTAAAAGCAACCGAGTGAGTTTTATATTGCATGTTGGCTGGCATGAGTCCATGTGTGCAATACTGAAGTTTCTCTGCTAAATAGTGTGATGCCGTCTTACTTGTTCTTGGTAATGTTTACACCCATTCCCCAAGGAAGGTCATTTCATATTAGGTCTGTAACAGGAGGAACTAGGAAACCATTCTGTTTTCATCCGCTGTGCTCTGGTGCTTGCTAGCTCTCTGACTTTGCTGTTAGGCTTGCATTTATCTTTCCCAAAGCCCTGGCTGTCATTACTGGATGTTCACAGAGGAAGGATAAGTATCTGTGAAATGAAACTATGTAAATAGTAAATAGGTACTTGGATAAAGCCTACTAAATTTATGTTGCATATTCTGGTGTATTTTTTTCTTTTTTAAAATTTCTTAGATTGAATGACTAAAATTGAGAAATCTGTTTTCTTAGGGCTCTTGCTTCCTCCTTGAACCTTTTTAGGCTGTTAAACTGTTCTTTACGATGTCATAAATTTGTTTTATAGATGATAAATGAATAGAACTTTTTTTCTTTGTTTGACCACACCTTGTTATAATTTTGTTGTATTTGGGTTTTTTAAATATATTTTAGACAGATAGAAATATACTGAAATACTAGCTATTTTACTAACCAGTGTTAGTATTTAGACCTATGAAGCATATACTTTAAACCGTTTAATAGAGATAAGATTAATAGTCTTATGTACACTGAATTAAAAATATATTACTGGTAACTGTCATATAACTATTGCAGTTTATATAGTATAAACATTGTTTTTTAATATTTCCCTTATTCTCTGCACATGTGAAAGGACAGTGATTAAATGAAGGCTCTTAGCTTTTAAATTTGAGATTGACAAATAAATTGTGTATTATGTGAAGAAAGCAGAGTTCCTGCTGATTCTAGTCCAAGTAAAAGTTAGATGGTTGTAAGTGAGGTATTTAGGGGTCTTTGAACATCTCTGTACAGTCAAGCTTGGTTCAGAATTATTCTATAACATTTTAAAAATGCTTTTTAACCTAGCTATTATTTTTATTTCATAAGCATTTTTTGCAAGACACACACGGTCAGGTTGCTTATGTTAAATGTCTTTCATTATATTTTTTATACTAATCTAATATAAAGAATTTGTGTAAATCACAATTAGGAAATTGAAGTGTTTAGCTAGGCCAGTGTTTGTGAAATATATGTCAGGTTGGCTTTTTAACGTAATGTATTATTTTGTGTATCTGGGTGATGTGTGTTGTTTTGTGTGTTGAGTAGCCCTTGTGGAGACTAGAGGACAACTCTGTGGAGTTGGTTCTAGTTCCACCTTGTAGGTGTTGAACTCAGGGACTTGGCTTGAGGGACAAGAGCTTTCTCTGTTACACCATCTTGCTGGTCTTGTTTGTATCCAAAAGTACATGTGCCATAGAATTCCAAGCATTTGGGGTTTGTTTGTTTGTTTTTTCAGGAGTTTTTCTGTGTAAAGCTAGCCATCCTGGAAATCACAGAGATCTGTGTGCCTCTGCCTTCCGAGTGTTGGGATTAAAGGCATGTGTGCCTCCACTACCACTTGCTCTGAGCACTTTTTTTTTCCCCTAAGATTTATGTTTGTGAGTACACTGTAGCTGTCTTCAGACACACCACAAGAGGACACAGGGTCCCATTACAGATGGTTGTGAGTCACCATGTGCTTGCTGGGAATTGAACTCAGAACCTCTGGAAGATCAGTCAGTGCTCTTAACCACTGAGCCATCTCTCCAGCACTCTTGAGTACATTTCAATGTCATATATTTGAGAAATCAAAATTAATGATTTTAAAAAAATCATTGATTTTTATTTCATGTGTGTTGATGCTTTTTGCCTGAATGTATGTCTGTGTGAGGATGTCAAATCTTGGAGGTCTAGACAGTTGTGAACTGCTTTGTGGGTGCTGGGAATTGAATCCATGTCCTCTGGAAGAACATTCAGTGCTCTTAACTGCTGAGCCATCTCTGTAGCCCCAAGATATATTATTTAAAATTTACACCAAGGGAACACACATATTTTTTTCTTTCTTAGAGATACATCCTACAAAGAACTGCATATCCTCTTTATTTTATAGCAATTGAGTTATTTTGATAGGTAGTCTTTTGTAGTAAATTTTATATGCACCTCTGCATATTGGTTATATGATTGTATTTAAAATTTGGTGGCATTAATATAATTAAACTTTGTTGTAGTTCTTGTGATATCTAAGTCCTCAAGTTGGACATGTGCTTCCCCTGTATTTAGATCACATAGGTAAAAAGGATGAGATTCAACTGTTGGAAATAGTGACCATTGGTGGTTTAAATTGACAATCTTCATGTGATTTCTACTGTTAATGTGATTTAAGTGATCATGTTTTTATGGTCAGAAAATTGACATGTATTCTGACCCATGTTGTTAATGACTCAATGATCAATGATGTTCAGTAATACACATTTTATAAAGAACTATTACATTTGTGAATTTTGTCATATTTCATTTCTTTTAGCTTATACATGATAGGCAAGCATTTTGTTACTGAGCTTTGTGTGACCGCACCTCATAGGAATTGCTCGAGAATCCAATGCAGTGCACAAAGATGTGTCCCAATTGAAGTGCAAGTATTCCTGGTCAAGGCTCTTACCAAAAAATTTCAACAATTATTTTGTAAGTGCTAATAACTAATTTTCCTGTCAGCCTCTTTATATTAGTAACTTAAACAACTGCAGCTACAATTAGATTGTAGGTAGAAGCATGTTTTAGTTGAGGGTCAATGGCTTTTTTTTTTTTTAAATACAAGTTTTTAGTAAGAGTTAAATACAATGGAAAACTTTTAGAAAAATTGCATGCTATTTAAATAATTTTATATTGTGTATGTACATTTTTCAATATAGGTTTTGATACTGATTTTCTAAGACTTTATCTTAAGAAAACAAGATAGTTTTTGGATATGGCAGACAGTTCTCACTGACCTCTTTGTGGCATATTTGCCTGGTGATGCTTTTTCACACTTGTGTGTTTATATGTTTGGGATTCTTCGCCATTGAATATGACATAAAACATTTTAATATAAACTTTTTGTTTGTTTTTTAGCTGGAGACATGGCTCGGGTTTTGTTTGTTTGTTTGTTTGTTTGTTTCAGAGAACCTGGGTTCTGTTACCCGCACTTAAATCAGGCAGCTCAAAAATTGCCTGTAATTCTAGTCCCAAGAGGATCTGACATCCTTGCAAGCACATACAAAATAAACCAACCAACCAAACAAAAAATCTGGGCTGCAGAGATGGCTCAGCAGTGAAGAGCACCAACTGCTCCAGAGATCCTGAGGTCTTTGCAATTGCTGGTCTTTTCCTTTGTAGAATTTGTATTTTTGTCTTCACAAAGAATACAAATATCTGACATGTTTCTTTCTGTTACTTATCTTAGAAAACATCCCAAAAAGTAATGGGAATAAAAAAATTAAAAGTTATTATGGCTGAGTATGTGAGGCACACCTGACATCCCAGTTCTAGGAGCATCAGGAGTTTAATATCAGAGAATCAGCATGAGCTATAGCCTGTCTAAAACAAACAAGCAAATAGAAAAAATTATAGTCTAAATTCAAAGTGTTATTAAATACTATTAGATATTTATAGATAACTACTATTTAAATAAATGAAACATTTAAGTATTGTGCCAGGTTAGTCAATATTTTATTTCAACATATTTTCAATTTCTACAATATTATAATATTAAACTGTTGGAGAGAGTGCTTATATGTTAACTTGCTATTTTTTGAAAAGGATACAGGTTCAGTTATCAGTACACACACACAGGCAACTTACAACCCATCTTTAACTCTAGTGTCAGGGGATCAGACAGTTTTTTCTGCCCTTCTGGCCCCTGTGTGTGTGCATGCACACACAAAAATAAAAAAAGTAAAAAAAAATTGAAAAAAATTAATAATTTAAGCTTGGCATGATGATGCACAATTTTCATCCCAGAAGCAGGAGGACCTCTGAATTTTACTCCAGCCAGAACTGCATAGTAAAACCCTGTCTCAGTTGATATTAATAATAT